TTATATAGAACTTGTTTGCAGTCTTTTCAAAGGCAGTAAAGACAGTTATTCAACAGTAAACCAAAGGAAAGAAATGTACTATCGAGAAAAAAATCCACCGTTTAAAAAATAAACAGCCTTAAAAATTTGCATGTTTATGCCTTTATTCATATAGAGACGTGTACAGATATATAGTTGGCAAATGGACGGACAGAACAATAGCACTCAAATTCCTGAATAGTCACCGACCAAAGCCATCCATTATCTACCAATTATAAAATGATTCATGCAAACAGATTTTTTCACAGAACTCAAAAGGCGTCAGTTCATGTTTAGTATATAGCTCCCATTAATCTTTTAATAAAGACAAACCCTTTTGGATTTAAAGGTGCTTGCATTTTTTGCAAATAAAATCGCCAAATGATTTGCTAACATTTACAATTTCAGCAAATGAAATTATTTGAAATAAGCAATATAATATATTCCATCAACATGAATGCACAAAACCCAAATTGAACAATAAAGTAAACATGCTTCCTCAATTGGGCAATACGTTTGGTAAATTTTAGAATATAAAATGCACAACAAGTACCGGACTTCATTTTAAGATTGTTGAAGAAATTACAGTGATATTGTGCATATTATATTCACAAAAATCAAGTCGTTTATTTGCGTGAAATCGAAATGTAATTTTGACTTATTGGAATGGATTTGAAAAGACAAATCAATAATTTACCGAATCTGAACGTATGAATATGGATTCATCCATTTTCTACTTTAAGTGAAAGTAGATCGAACCTTGCAAAATAAATATGTAAATAAGGTTAATGAATTTCTGAAATCAAAGAGTAATCAAATGAATTAGAAAATGAAGCAAGAAAATGCAAATGATGGATTTTTGGCCGAGGCAAGTGTTGGACACTTTGTCCTTAAAATGAATTTACCCCCGCATCAGTGCTAACGATTTTTCGACAATCATCTCCCAAGATGCAACGACCACATCGAGCTATAGGAGCACTCCAAATGGCTTAGATCAACGAACTCGAACGAATTTCTCTCTCTACCAAAACCATGACTTTGATGTAAATGTTTTATGCAAAACCAAAGTGTAACATGAAATAGAATGATATGGGATTATGAGTTGAGTTTCTTTTTGTTGATAAAATTCAAACACATGGGGTCTATACATAGTAGTTTGAAAGGTATGCCAAAGGATACAATCATACCAAAAGACACATATCTTGAAATTTATTTTTATACATTAAGAGACAATTATTGGAAATTGATCATAGCCATACCAACAGTCATGATCTTTAATATGAAAAGACACGTCCATATATTTTTAGAATATTTCACAATATTCTATACAATTTCAAGTATTAAGCGGCTTACATTTGGCTTAATTTCTCATTCACCAAATTAAGAATTCCACTTAAATAATCATTTAAAATTGGTCACAATCAATTTTCGATACAAAATTCCACCAGAATTTTATTATGGCTATGGGGAAACAAAGTAATAAAGATGGGATGGGATGCTAGTTGCTGTATCATTACCCTTTCAATTTCTTTTCCAAATGCAATGGATGCTAATTTCTTTATATTTCCATATGCCAAAAAAAAAGAACATATAGGTAATTAATCGCGCTCATTCTTTTTTCTTCTTTCCTTTTGTAATTTGCTACAGAACTCTACAGGGATTGTCTTCTCTCTCAAACTCACTCTCTCATAGCTATGAAAATTTTACTAGAAGATTTCAGAGACACGCAGAAGTCAGTAGGCCAACTGTTGATCCGGAAGGATATGAAAGTTCCAGCTCGAAGAACAATGTGGATGAAAGTAAACTTGTCACGCGTTCAATCAATTATGAGAACGCTGCTAAACACAATGTGATATCTGACTTGAAGGTATCTGAAAGACACGATCTTGCCATGATTTTCACGTGCAACGTTTGTGATACCAGATCTGTAAAGACAGTTTGTCGTGAATCGTATGATAAAGGCATAGTGGTGGCTAGATGTGCTGGATGTAATAATCTGCACCTGATTGCGGATCGGTTAGGATGGTTCGGAGAACCTGGTAGCGTTGAGGAGTTTTTGGCTGCTCGTGGGGAGGAGGTGAAGAAGGGATCCATTGATACTTTAAATCTAACTCTCGATGATCTTGCAGGTAAGAAAAATCTAGAGTTTTAAGAAGCTTGAAATTTAAAAATGTGGAAAATATAGCATTCTGCTCTAATGGATTATATTTGAGTCTTGTAATCCTGCAAGAGCTGCTTGTAGTCTCGTCATCTAAACGATATTTTAAACTTAAGTAATCATCGAAATATTATTATAAACTATTGAATATTGTATTGTTATTCATTAAAAGAAAGAGATTTGTACATATTTTCCCTTGGTTTTTCGTACAAAAAGAATCGAATGCCTATACTATCATTTACAGAAAATATATTGATTCGAATGATGGCTCAATTAAATCTCAGGTACAAAACAATCTGTCCAGTGTCATTAACTAACACGCCATTACTGTATGTTGGCTGAGAATCTAATGAGCATTCTGTTAAGATTTGGGGTCCATATTAATAAGGTTGAAGAGGAGTGGCTCAATATATGGTGGCTCTTTTTGACCAGATCAATCTTGAAATCTGTGTGCTCATTTTTTAGATTTAATTGGATCGAATAGTTCGTTGGAACTTACTGAGCTTTGATACCATTTTAAGTTTTGGGGTCCATCTTATTGACCTTATTAAAAAGAGTTGCACAAAATTTATTTAAGTTGGTCAATATTTCAGTATTTAACCGATATGGAATTTATTCTCTTAACACATTCCATGTCTTGCAATGTTAGAAGATTATGCTTTTGCACAGTGAAACAAAGTGCCAATAGAATGAAGGTTGAATTCACTTTTTTTTTGCATCGTCAACATACCAGAGAAAGCTAAAGCCCGACAAGCTGCACCTGCAAGCACCAGAAAGGATATAGCGAGGTGATTGGGCGGTGGTGGTCGTTGCGGTTGGGTGAGGAGAGGTGGGTGGAAGGGAGAGTTTTTATTTATTCTTATTTTTTAAATTGTTTAATTTGGACTCATTTATACTTTTCTTAAAAAATAAAATAAAATAAAAATTGAGAAAATGGTCGCAATAATTACTTCATTTTTTCTTATTTTCTTTTGGTTTATTTAAGAAGCTTGGTGGGCAGAGGACGGAAATGTTATATTCGTGCAAAGTTTGATTATAATGAAGGGTGGAGGGGTATTGCACAAAACAGGTAAACGTTAAGAGTATCGTATCGATTACCCAAGATATTAATGATCTGTTTAGTATAATGCATTATATGGTATTCACTATTTTATATATATATATATATCATGAATAGAGAGTAATAGTATTTAGTCCCACTGGGTTACAACCCCTGTGTAGCTATTGTTAACGTGACATTAAATGATGAATCACCATTCATTCAGTCTATCATTTAACGTCATCTAAATTGGAGTTGTAACCCCAGTGGAGCTACGTTACATTATTCTGAATATAAGACATAAATACACTCATTAAAGACAATGATTGTGTTTTTCCTCCTTCAAAGAACTAGATTTGTCAACCTGCTCAATCGAGAAAATCAACAATTGAGGCAAAAGCTTGTATACATAAAGAATTCAGAAGTTATGCATGTCTACATGAGAGGATGGAAGGGGGAGGGTTGGTATGTTTGGTACACAATTCTGGACTATATAAAACACGAGTTAACTTTCTTTCTTTTTTTCCTTTTAAATCCCTATCCACCCCTCCCAATCCAACATGTCAAACATGTCTAATTTTGACCGTCATCTAATACAAACTTGCCAGACAAACCTATAAGAATGATTCCTTCTCAAAGTGATTTACATAATTCTGCAGGCCTCTCAAAACTAATGTGCTTCGTGCATCAAAAAGTCGAATGCAAGCTGAACAGATGTTGAACTCACTTCTTTTGGAAAGTCACCATACCAACGAAAGCTATAACACGGCAACCTACGCCAGCAAGGATTAGCAGAGCTATACGAAGCCCCCAATCGTGTATATTATACCCATATTTCTGAAGCGCACCACAACGCGTAATGAGCCACACGCCATAGTGCCTGAAGCAAAAAATCTAATCAGTAAACTGTGTTGTCCAACATCAACAATCCAAATTGATATTGATTTCAAGATTTATACCCCAAGATTGAAAAGTATAGCTTTGTTTTTTCTCTTCCCTTTGTTTGAAAAGTTCAGTAAATTTATAGAGTACAGTCGGATACAACAAGACTACTATTAAGATGTTTCTTCTTTTTCTTCCTTTACGCTACTTAGCGCTATCTAATCCACTCTACCAAACATACAACAAGATTTTATTTTCCCATAATCACAAGGGAAGAACTTAAGCACAGCAATATGCATGTGAATCTTAAGCACGTGATCTATGTTCAAATAAATGGAGAATACTTAGGATTAACTTTGGAAGGTGATCTCCGACAAAGTGGAACTCCACCCCAATTTCTTTTTCATGCAGTTATTATCCTTGCTAAATCAAGGTCAGTTTCAAAGTTATGCTGGCGAACCAAGAGCTTGAGATATTTCCTAGCACAACAGGGACACATACAACCATATCCAAACTTTTCCAATAGTGAGAAGATGCAGGTTGGGTTTTCAAGCTATAGATGCGGTTTTGCTTTGATCAAAGGAACTGTTTTTTTCTATTTTAAGTTAGTCACTAACTTTCATTTTTATTTCAGTTTGGGGAGTTCATCAATAGAAAATAACAGAGTCTCGACTTGTATGAAACGAACAATGACGTGGCTTTAAAGGTCTGTTAATGCGTTTGGTTTTATCATTCAGATTGCCCCAAAACTCTTATTCTACTAAAATTATGTTATTAATATATTAGATTTGTGGAGGAACAAGTGTTTTTACAAATGTCAACACCAAAACTAGTGCATTAATATGTGTTTTAAGCCACTCCATTTCCATCGTACAAGTCAGCAATTACGTTACTTCAAATGGATAGAGGTAGACAGTGTCTAAAGTGAAACAAAAATGGAAATTCCAAGAACAAAGTGAAATGACACTATAAGTTTGGTGACTAAGAGCATTTTTTCAACCTTGTAGATGTTGTTTATAATGCGAAAACACAAGTATGAATCATAAGAACCTCCTACAAGAGTGGTGAATGCTTGTGTCAGAGATGCTCATGGTACTTACCTCTCTGCATTTGCAATAACAAATGCTTCTAAGGCCCACTTTGGGTAGCACAAGTTCCCTATAATCTTCACATATTTCGTAGCATTTATCTGAGTCGCAATGAGAGTCAAAACCACGGGAAGTAGTACCGAACACTGCACAAAGTGAAAGTTGATACATCATACTTGCAGCAGATCAAACAAATAGTAGCTATTAGAAAGGAGAAATAATTACCAGCTGGGATGGACCGGGATCAAGAAAGATGGCCAACACATAAGCTACACCAGTTACACAATACACGAGACAGAGCAAGACCACGTAATTAGCTCCAAAGGAAGATCTTGGGTTGCTGAAGAAATAAAACATCGACAGATACACTACAGGTTTTATCACTGTATTGAAGTGGTCGATTGTGTCTTTGGAAACAAAATGAGCCAGACTGCTAATGCCAGAAGCGCTCTCTCTCCAATATTGTAACTTGTCGAGAGAAAATGACCTTAAAGCAGCAATCTTGCATAACAGAGCTGGAATTGGAGAAAGAAACATGACAGGATTAAATCAAGAAACACAAATGTGTGTGCGCGTCTATCTGTGCTCTCTGTCCGTGTGCATGTGTGCTTGTGAGAGAGAGAGACGTGGGCCGGGATGGGGCGGGGGAAGAGGGGAAGTAAAGAGTGAAATAGGAATGAGTCAGAACCATTCCCACTATCTATCATACAAAACAAAAGAACTATAGAGGAAAAAAAAAATATAAAACTATTTCAGCAGAAGGAAAAAGCATATAAAAAATAAGTCATGTCTTAATAAGCTATTTAAGTCAGCATGCAACATTCTTGTAGGTTAATAATAATAAGGATTCATAAAGAAATTAATTAATTTAACACAAAAGGGAATTTCTTATGTAAGGAATTTTTAAGTTTTATGAACTTACAAACAGCAATAATTGTATACGTGTAAGCAGCATAACCAAAGGTTGCATCACTCGCTTTGGTAAGTGATCCCAAGCTCGCTCCAGCAAGTAAAAGAATAAGATAATCTATTACTTGAACTCTAGCTTCACGTATTCGCTGTTTACCCACCCTGAGATTGTTATGAGCACAGAGATGATCAGAAAGGAATCTTACTGAATGATAAAATAACTAACCAAAAACCACTGAGTTGTTTTGTGAACAACTTGGGTTGAGAATGCGGTTAAGCAACATGTTAACTAATTGATTAAATAAATTGGAACTAATTTTGCTTCGTACTTAATGGTTAGGTCCAAGTTCTACCATGGAACACATAATCCACACTGGGGAAAAAGGATTTGTAGTCCCCCCACCTACCACTTTGCCATCCTACCAAAATGGTACAAAATAGATACAATAATTTTCCCGAGTTATTTATAAATTGACATATTTCCCACATTTTGAATGCCAAAGATTCAATTTACAAGAAAACATTAGAAAATTTTATTAAAGATATTTATAGCAACAAGGTTAAGAATCCCGTGATTAGCAGCACCACCAGTCTCTTATTGTATAGTAGCCATTGTCACACGAATTCACACTCCTCACATTTGAACCCACAACCTAGAAGGAAGATGGCTTAACTCATATGTATTTAATCCGCCTTCTGTTTTGGCTGCACAAAACGACTCAGGGGGCTATTCAGAAAGCATGATATAGGAACCAAATTAGATAGAAAGAAAAATTTCAGATCAACAAGAGAATTTTAATAATGTACCTCCCAAGGAAGTACTTATATTGTAGGAGGGTATTCGGGGTTCTCCGGTTGGACAAATCAGTTGATCTCAAAAAGTTGTGTCGTATCATATCGCGCTTCCTCTCCACATTGCATTTCATATCTTGCCATACTTCCCCGGCAAAAGATTGTTCCTCAGTAACAGAACCAGGAAAGTGTATATCATCTCCTAGATTTATATTTGCTGGGGATATTGGAAGTTCAGCTATATCATTCCTCATATCCGGGGGTATCGGATAACCGTTATGAAGCATCCATCTAACAGGAAGTTCCCTATAACTCACGCCCGAGCTTGAACTTGTTTTAATCATCCCCTCCAAAATGTCAATAAAGTAATCTGGAGGATTAAC